CTTTTACACACAGAAGTCTTTACACAGAGAAGTCTTGAGACAGAGAAGCCTGTACACACAAAGGCTTTTACAGAGAGAAGCCTTTCGCACAAAGAAGTCTTGACACAGAGGAGCTTTTACGAGAGAAGTCCTTACACAAACGAGATTTACACGCAGAAGGTGTTACAGATAGACGTTCTTTCGGCGCACAGAAACTTTAACACAGAGCAGCTTGTACACACAGAAGCTTTTACACAAAAAAGCCTTTACACAGAGAAGTTTTTCACACGAGCTTTTGCGCAAGAAAACTTTTACACAGGAAAGCTTTTACACACAGAAACTTTCACACACAGAAGCTTTGTACACAGAGAAGTCTTTGCACAGAGGAGCTTTTGCACACACAGAATCTTGTACACACAGACGCTTTCACACACACACAGGAGGTTTTACAAACAGACAACTTTACGGCGCACAGATTTTTTACACAGAGCAGCTTTTACGCAGCGAAGCTTGTACACACAGGGGGCTTTTTTACACAGAAGCTTTTACATAAGGTTTTTTTAATACACAGAAGCTTTTACACACAGAAACCTTTACACACAGAAGCTTTTACACACAGAAACCTTTACGAAGGTTTTACACACAGAAGCTTTTAACACAAAAAAACCTTTAAACAAAGGAGCTTTTACACACAGACGGGTTTACACAGAGAAGTCTTTACACACGGAGGCGTTTACACAGGAAAGAGTTTACACGGAAGCGTTTACACAGAGTAGTTTTTACACAGAGAAATCTTTACACAAAGAAGTCTTGACACAGAGAGGCTTGCACACACAGAGGCTTTTACACACAGAAGCCTTTTACACAGAGCGGCTTTTTCACAGAGGAGCTTTTACACAGAGGAACTTTTACACAGAGAAGCTTGTACACTCAGAGGCTTTGACACAGAGAAGTCTTTTACACAGAGAAGCTTTTGCACACAGAAGCTTTACACTTTACACAAACAAAACCTTAACACAGAGGAGCTTTTACAGACAGCAGCTGGTACGCAAAGAAACTTTCGCAAACAGAAACTTTTACACACAGAGCGCGTTTTACACAGAAGATTTTACACACAAGAGCTTTTACACCAAAAACCTTTACACAGAGAAGTTCTTGCCCACAGAAGCTTTTACTTGCAGAAGCTTTTATGCAAAGAAGCTTTTGTACAGAGAAGTCTTTACCCATCTTTTATCATGTCTCATTTTTCATGATCATTTGCCATCTGTCACCTTCATATATATCTTCGTTTTCATGCTCTTTTGGTCAGCTCCCTCTGTCGTTTAATTTTCATTTCGTTCTGTCCGTCCACGCTTCGTGCTCGCTCCCTCTGCGGCGAAGCAAACTAAACGATAACGCAGAAATAGATAGCGACTAGACAGATGGGATAGAGTTAATTACATTAACAGAAATAGCGACTAGAAGACTGTAGGCGTAGCTGACACAGCATGCTGTGGTGAATCGTGGCCCCTGATACCATCAGTGCGCACGATGTTTAAGTAAAGATCTTACGTCGATTTCGTGCAGAGCACAGCTGGCCACACCCCAAGATTTTCAAGAAAAGGCGTGCTGTGTGCCGTCTTGCTTTTGGGTTCTCTGGCCCACCTTGTTTTGTATATATAGGTTTTAAATTTAGTATTAGGGGGAAGCTTCGAAATCCAATTTTTGGCAATATCTTAATTGCGATATATAAAGAAATTTAATTGATTTTGAGATCGGAAAAAGTAGTTTTTATTATTTAGGGTTTTAATTTAATATTAGGGGGAAGCTTCGACATCCAGTTTTTGGCAATATTTTATTCGTGTTATATAAAGAAATTTAATTGATTTTGAGATTGGAGAAAAAGTTTTTACTATTAAGGGTTTTAATTTTTAGGGGGAAGCCAATTTTGGCAATATTTTAATCGCGTTATATAAAGAAATTTAATTGATTTTGAGATCGGAAAAAGTAGCTTATATTATTAAGGGTTTTTATTTAATATTAGGGGGAAGCTTCGAAATCCAGTTTTTGGCAATATTTTCACTGCGTTATATAAAGAAATCTAATTGATTTTGAGATCGGAAAAAGTATTTTTTATTATTTAGGGTTTTAATTTAAAAATTGGGGGCAGCTTCGAAATCCAATTTTTGGCAGTATTTTAATTGCGTTATATAAAGAAATTTAATTGATTTTGAGATCGGAAAAATAGCTTTTACTATTAAGGGTTTAATCTTATTGATAGGGTTCCCTAATAATAAATACCACCCTATCACTAAAAACATCTAAAAACTACCTGCCGTGTTTATTATTTGGGGGGGCGTTTAATATTAGGAGGAAGGGATTAGTCTTGTGGGATGCGGACATAAACTAAACACTGGACGCTTGTCTTATTCAAAGGACGCGACGCGCCAATCTGATTGATTTTGTTTTCCCGATACTGTTTGATGGAACTTCGAGTAGCCCCATGTAGCATGAGTTGGGCCCCTTTCTACCTTCCATTTCACCTGATATCCCTTCATATGCTGTATCTGAATCAGGACCATTGCATGTTTCGTCCTGAATCTTACACTGGTATCACTCTTACGTCACGAGCATGCAAGCGTCCCTGCTCAAGCTGGGAACATTATGTAAACTTGTCCAACGAAGAGTGGCCCTCTGCCCCGCGAACAGCACGTGAAGAAAATGAAGCAAAGCGTGTGAATGAATGAAGCAAGTCGCCCACAAGACAATACATAAAAAATCCTTGCAACAAAGGAGAAGTTCAAAGGAACAAAGCACCAGGCAAAAGAGATTCAAAATAGACAAAGGACCCAAGAGAGGAACGAGATATGCAGCATGACTGAGTCTTAAACCCAGTGACGGTGAACACAGGCCACGTCAGGCCACCTATGTGATCCCACAGGCCAGGCCAACAAACCCATCTCCTCTATCATCAAGAAGCAATTGCTAAGCAACCCAACATACCAACACCTATATAACCAACACCTAAGCAACACCTAACCAGAAAAACGGAAGGACATGACGGACTAAGTAATGTCGGTAAGGCTCAGAATTTCACGAGACCAAAAACTGCGTAACCAAGCAGAAACTGAGGAAATCAGAAACTGTATAGCCAAACAGCCGGGGAAGGATTCAGAAAACAAGATCCGTGTCACAACTCAACAAACAACACAAAACAAAGGAACCATGGAGCACAACGCATCTCAGAAAATAGTTCACACTGAGAGATAGTACCAAGCGACAAAAGGGATAGGCAACAAGCGGTGCAAGCAAGAAAGACGGACGAAGAAGTAAGATGAAGTAACGGTAACAAACAAATCCAAGGCGGCACAGAACGAAACGGAAACTCACACCGTGCAAAAAAAGATCAACAATCAAAACATATCAAAACAAAAGGCGCACGCATCGGGCGCACACATCGGGCAAAGAGGCACAAACCGCTTCCACTCTTGCTTTGGGGGTGGCTTCAACTAGGCAATGCATGAATGGCCTGAGCCCAGCCCCATCTGTTCCAGAAGCCGCTGCGCAATTGTTGCTTCAAGGTCTAGGTGCTTCTTGGTGCTTCTAGGTGCTTCTGAAAGAATCTCCAACCCGTGTCTCTCTGCCCGTGAGCTCCGGGATTCCCACATCGCCCAATGGCCTGAAACACGAACCAGTGTAGGTCAGCAACTTCTGCCATGCCAGCACACTGCCGGGTGGCAGTTGTCTGACATTTTGCTGCATGAGTTCGCGATAGCCATCGATGACGTTGTTCACGCGTGCTAGCGTCACATCTTGTCCCAAATGCCTAAGGCAGTTTGTGCTGTGGCTGCACGACTGAAAGAACTGAAGCATACAGAAGTAACTCTTCGACTTAAGGGAACACCGAGAAGCAGCAGGCAATCAGGGCCACAAAAACCAACTAAACCTCCTAAACAAAAGTCCAACCAACCCTTGTTTGAAGCCGTTGCCCCATGTTTGCATCCAAAAACGACCTATCTGATGACTTGTCTGTGTGGGCATAGATGTCTAAAGATGTCTTAAATGTGCATGTGGACCAAATCGGGCATCTCTTTGGCTGTGATCAGTGAGCAGTGTGAGCATTTTTGGCATTTGAACGCTAGGCCTCTCACTTAAAAGCCATGGTCTCAACAAAGAGCCTCAACTCTTCGGGATCTTCGCTCTTGTGGCCAAGCACTCGAAAGCCATTGAAAAGGGCCAAAGACAAGACTGCCCTTGGAGTGATGAAACTTTCCTGCCCAGGCAGGTGCAGTAGACTCAGTAGACATGTCACGACACTTTGACGGGGAAACGCAGCCGGTTGGTCTCTGAATCATCACCCATGGGGACCACTTCGGGCCTATACAGCATAGTCTCACAATGTTTCATATATTGCTTTCATTCCACAGCACAGAGGAACAAGACGCATGGTCTTTCTTTCAATGCCTTTCCATTTGTTTCATATGCTCGTCGATCAGGTTTTTGGCACACACGACTCATCATCCATGGCACCCAGAAAACCTTGGAAAACCCTGGGGGGTGTCTGGGATGTCTCGCGGCTCCTTCACGGCTAGCAACGCAGAAGTCAGGACCCCGTAGATCGCATCCCCAACACGGTCCCGGTCATTGCCCAATGCTTGCAGCAAGAGCTCGAAGGAACGACCAAGCGAAAAAAGTTCCGATGGCGTCCTGAAACAGAAATGATCTGAATTTATCAAATGTGAATCGTGAAGGTTAACGGAACCAAGGTTCACAATAAACTTGTAAATGTGCAAAATGGGCAGGGAGATTGATCATTAAAAAAAATATAGGACAAGATGCAGCCCACGAACCCGAATGCTCACACGTATGTTAATGGTACAGATGTCGAAACACATGGAAATGCAGTCACGTAGAACACTTTTCTGAAACAGTTTATGTACACAGTCTTGTACATTTGAAGTGTAAAGTGTAAAGTGTAGAGTGTGGAGTGCAGAGTGTAAAGTGTGGAGTGTAAAGTGTGGAGTGCGGAGAGTGGAGCGTGGAGTGGAAACTGTGAAGTGTAGAATGCTGAGTGTAGACTGTAAAGTGTGGAGTGTAGAGTGTGGAGTGTAGTGTGTAAAGTGTAAAGTGTGGAGTGTAAAGTGTAGAGTGTGGAGTGAGGAGCAGAAGTGTAAAGCGTAGAGCGTGGTGGAGTGTGGAGTGTAGAGTGTGGAGTGTGGGGTGTAAAGTAGAGAGTGTGGAGTGTAAAGTGTGGAGTGTGGAGTGTAGAGTGTGGAGTGTGGAGTGTGGGGTGTGGAGCGTGGGGTGTAAAGTAGGGAGTGTGGAGTGTAAAGTGTAAAGTGTGGAGTGAGGAGTGCACAGTGTAAAGTGTAAAGTGTGGAGTGTAGAGAGTAAAGTGTAGAGTGTAGAGTGTGGAGTGTAAAGTGTGAAGTGGGGAGTCTACAGTTTAAAGTGTGGAGTGTAAAGTGTAAAGTGTAGAGTGTGGAGTGTAAAGTGTGGGGTGTGGAGTGGAAAGTGTAGAGTGTAGAGTGTGGAGTGTAAAGTGTGGAGTGTGAAGTGTAGAGTGGGGAGTGTAAAGTGTAAAGTGTCGAGTGTGGAGTGTAGAGTGTGGAGTGTGGAGTGTAAAGTGTCGAGTGTGGAGTGTGGAGTGGAAAGTGTAGAGTGTGGAGTGTGGAGTGTGGTGTAAAGTAAGGAGTGTGGAGTGTAAAGTGTGGAGCCTGGAGTGCGTAAAGTGTAGAGTGTGGAGTGTGGAGTGAGGAGTGTGGAGTGGGGAGTGTAAAGTGTGGAGTGCGAAGTGCACAGTCAGTGTAAAATGTAAAAGTGTGAAGTGTGGAGTGTAGAGTGTAGAGTGTAAAGTGTAGAGTGTAGAGTGTAGAGTGTAAAGTGTAGAGTGTGGAGTGTAAAGTGTAAAGTGTAGTGTGCGGAGTGTGGATTGGAAAGCGTAGAGTGTGGAGCGTGGACCGTAAAGTATAAAGTGTGGAGTGTAATGTGTGGAGTGAGGATTGTGGAGTGAGGTGGAGTGTGGAGTGTAGAGTGTGGAGTGTGGGGTGTGGAGTGTGGGGTGTAAAGTAGGGAGTGTGGAGTGTAAAGTGTGAAGTGTGGAGTGAGGAGTGCACAGTGTAAAGTGTAAAGTGTGGAGTGTAGAGAGTAAAGTGTAGAGTGTAGAGTGTGGAGTGTCAAGTGTGGAGTGTAAAGTGTGAAGTGGGGAGTCTACAGTTTAAAGTGTGGAGTGTAAAGTGTAAAGTGTAGAGTGTGGAGTGTAAAGTGTGGGGTGTGGAGTGTAAAGTGTGGAGTGAGGAGTGTGGTGTGAGGAGTGTAAAGTGCAAAGCGTGGACTATAAAGTGTAGAGTGTAAAGTGTAGAGTGTGGAGTGTAAAGTGTAGAGTGTGGAGTGTGGAGTGCGGAGTGGAAAGTGTAGAGTGTGGAGTGTAAAGTGTGGAGGGTAAAGTGTAAAGTGTGGAGTGAGGAATGTACAGTGTGAAGTCTAAAGTGTGGAGTGTAGAGTGTAAAGTGTGGAGTGTGAAGTGTAGAGTGTGGAGTGTAAAGTGTCGAGTGTGGAGTGTAAAGTGCAGAGTGTAACGTGTAGAGTGTAAAGTGTAGAGTGTGGAGTGTGGAGTGGAAAGTGTAGAGTGTGGAGTGTGGAGCGTGGTGTAAAGTAAGGAGTGTGGAGTGTAAAGTGTGGAGTCTGGAGTGTGTAAAGTGTAGAGTGGGGAGTGTGGAGTGAGGAGTCTGGAGTGTAGAGTGTGGAGTGTAAAGTGTGGAGTGAGTAGTGCACAGTGTAAAGTGCAAAGTGTGGAGTGTAGAGTGTAAAGTGTACAGTGTATAGTGTAGAGTGTAACGTGTAAAGTGCAGATCGTAGAGTGTAGAGTGTGGAGTGTAAAGTGTAACGTGTAGAGTGTGGAGTGTGGAGTGGAAAGTGTAGAGGCTGGAGTGTGGACTGTAAAGTGTGGAGTGTAAAGTGTGAAGTTCGGAGTGTGGAGTGAGGAATGTGGAGTGTGGAGTGTACAGTGTGGAGTGTGAAGTGTGGAGTGAGGAGTGAGGAGTGAGGAGTGACGAGTGTAAAGTGTGGAGTGTAGAGTGTAAAGTGTAAAATGTGGAGTGTAAAGTGGGGAGTTTGGAGTGTGAAGTGTGGAGTGTATAAAACAGGTTGGAATGTCACAAAGTGCCATGCCTGCAACGCAAAACGTCATGACAACCTGCTTGGAAACATGCGAAAACGAGAGGTTTTGCAGCTTCCCCCATAGACACGGCGAGGCCACAGGAAAACCAGAGGCTCGAGACGAGACACGTGGGAGCATGACAAACGAGCATTTCGTGCGAGACTTCCTCCAATGTTCACACTTTGTAGCTTCAAAATCGACGTTTTCCTACGAGTTTTGAAAACGTCACAACTGGAGGAAGTCTCGCACGAAATGCTCGTTTTCTGCGCCCACGTGTTTTGTCTCGAGTCTCTGGTTTTCCTGTAGATGGATAGATCGATATAGATAGAGATAGAGATATAGATATAGATAGATAGATAGATAGATATATATATATATATAGATAAATAGATAGATAAATAGATAGATAGATAGGTAGCTAGCTAGATAGATAGATAGATAGATGGATAGATTGGATAGACAGACAGATAGACAGATAGATAGAGAGACAGCTAGATAGATAGATAGATAGATAGATAGATAGATAGATAGATAGATAGATAGATGGATAGATAGATAGATAGATAGCTAGATAGATAGATAGATGGATGGATGGATAGATAGATAGATAGACAGATAGACAGATAGACAGATAGACAGATAGACAGACAGATAGATAGATAGACAGATAGATAGATGGATGGATAGATAGATGGATGGATAGATGGATGGATAGATGGATGGATAGATAGATAGATAGACAGATAGATAGATAGCAAGTTTTGCAGCAGTCTTCAACGGTGGATGTTGCCGCTTGGCTTGAAAGACCTCAATCAAAGGCAGAGAAGAGATATGGAACAAACAGCGGGCAGGAAGCGACCACTTTTGGAGGCTTTTGCAGAGAAAATGCCGACTAGCAAAGTGAAGCTCCTGAAGGAGACTTTGGCATTTCCTAGGCAGAGAGAGAGAGACAGAGAGAAATTGTTAGACAGACAGACAGGCAAACAGACGGAGAGAGAGATAGATGGATACATAGATAGATAGGTGGGTAGGTAGGTAGATAGTCAGAGAAAGAGACAGAAAAAGAGAGAAAGAGAGGAGACACCAATCACCTTTCGATCCATCAGTGGCTTCGCTCTGCCATCCGTGATTCACAACAACCAACCTCTCCTATAGGTTTCCTATTTTTGAAACTTCCGCCACCGCCTTGTGAGGTACTACTGGTATTTGAATAAATTTGCATTAAGATTTATGATTTATAATTACAATTTGTTTTGCATTGTTTGAAGCCATATTCTACTTTGTTTACAAAGATAAGATATTGCACATTTTGAAGGCCTTTTGAAAGTCGAGTCACACAGCACCCTTTTCAAAACAAATCGACATTTGCATAGAACAGTTGTACTCTTTGAAAGGCCATATTGCAGAAGGTGGTGCAATACTTGCTTTTTACAACAAGAAAACATATTTTTATATAACCAGGCTTTTGCATCATCAATGGAATCTACAGTAGGCTCTTGCTACACTCCTTACCATAATGTTGCGCACTTTGCAAGCAAGAATCTGCACTTTCAAAGGTAAAACACATGATTCAATCAATGTGTCAGCAAAATGGCACTCTTTTCAAAACCATGCTGTAGTAATTCAAGAATAGATTACATCTTGCAAAACAGCATGCTACATTTTCCGACAGGAATGCTATGATTTCTGAAATCATTCAGTACATACATAAGAGGGTTCTCCTTGAAATTGGGAAGTAATGCTACACATCTTTTAAAGAACGCAACAATGTTTGCAAAAGGTTGTTGCATATATAGAGGAATGGTGTTCTTTATGCAAAGTCATTTTACAAGTGATGTTTGCTTATTTTCCTATTTTTACAGAGAACATATTGCATAAATTGGTGCCTGTTCAAAATGCACATGTTCAAAAGAACTATTGCATATGTTGAGGGAAACCCCTGTAGAGATGTAGAGTCTATACATTTTTAAAACAATGCTGCACTCTTTGAAAAGGCATTTGCACTTGTTTGTTTTGTTGTTTTTATTTAGTGTTCATGTTTGCTTTGGCTGAAACATGCTGAAACTATGTATCTATGTAGGACAATGGGAGAGCTGTTGAGAATGCACAGTGGTTGCTTTTGTTACAGAGGCAACAATAGTTTTGGAAAGGACAGGGTTTGGTATCTTTTGCAGAAATGGCACGTCAAACAAGAGAATTTGCACAGGTCTTACGTTTTAACTGGTGGCTTGTGTTTTATGGATTGGGCTCCCCCAAATAGGAACCAAATTTGCATTTTGGACCAAAGAGAAACCATGCCATTCTCATGGATTCATGGCTCACAGGTGGAACAAAAAAGATAAACCACAAGGCAATGCAAGTTTGAGTCACCTTAATGATCATACATGTTACATATAACTATAACTTGTAACCAGGTAATTCATTTTTTTACTACATATATACTTACTACATACTTAGCTCAAACCAACCCATCCAAGATTCAAAAGTCAAACCATTGTCATTGTCATAAAAGGCTGGGAAAATTTTAAAATTCAAAAAAGGCTGGGAA